TATATTACCAGGTCCAAGACTTCACCTTAAAAAAAAACAACTTTATTTGAAATGAACAACAACAACAGCTCTGTTTTTACATCTATGCACAAGTTGTGAAGAAATGTGGCTCTAGCATTTGTACAGCAGCTATACAATCAGGACACGGGGAGCAGGAGAAACTATTCACACTCTAATTTAAGGGCAAGGATTTGTTCAAACGTGTTCAAACACAAACGTGTTTTTTGGACAGAATGCGAAGAGAAAAAGCCTGACTTTCTGGTCTTCTTCTTTTCAGCTGTTGTTTACTCTACACGAGACGGTTCCGTTGTACGCCGAGGAAAAGCACCATGTCTAACGTCTCTGGTCGTGTTCAGCTGTTACAATCATACGTCTTAGAATTCAGCTTCTCACTCTGTCTGAACACAGCTGTAAGGCAGGAGATGAGCTGGGCGTCTGGTTCAGCCCTTCAGTTAAAAAGACAAAAACGAGTCAGACATTTTTCCTGTTGTTGACAAACGCGAGTACCTTTTGTAAGAAAGAGTCTTCGGTATAAGTTGAAAAAAAAAAACAACAAATCACTGGGACTTGGATAAATTCCTCTGTTGGTTTGGACTTTGGGATGAGCTAGTAGTTCAGGTAAAGCTGAGAGAGGGTTTAAGGCAGGAATCCACTCGGAGTTATTCTTGGTTCCCTAAACTTCTAATCTGACGGTTCTACCAGAATGAGGTGGAAAAAGACACTCAATAAATAGTTTCTGCAGGTAAAATGACTAAACTTTAAGAGATAAAAGTACAAAAAAATAACCTGAAATGTAAGAGGTTTTTAGGGGAAATCTGTAAAAAAAAAAAATAAACATACCCTGCTTTAATGTTTTTTTTCTAGTACCGCTTCAGTGCTGCTAACACCAACGAGTTATGAGACAAACTTTTTTTCCAAAGGCTCGACTCGGGAACCCGGACTTGTAGTACCGCTTCAGTGCCGCTAACACCAACGAGTTATGAGACAAACTGTTAACCAACAGTTGTCTCAGTCACAGTCTTTTACGCGCTCTCACACACACACACACAAATACAAGTACAGCAGGAGCAGAGGTGAATCAGTGCAGTCTGTCAGTGTTGGTCACATTCTGTCTGTAGGGGCTCAGTCGCGGAGGTCGGACGAAGACGTCTGGACGTGGAGCCATTTTGAAAAGAACTGGAGTTTTTTGGATTCAGATAAAGCTGAGAGAGTCTTTAAGGCATTGATCCACACAGATGGTTCTACGGGACGTTCTCCAGGAGGAGTTTCATCTGAATCCTCGCTCATTGTTTCTCCCTCCGCATTGTTGTTGCTCTGACGTCGCCGCACATTTTCAGGGGGAGGCGAGGGGTCAGAGGTCAAGCTGTGGCTCCGTCCTCTTCCAGCACTTTGTGGATTCCGTTTCCCGGGACGCTGAGAACCGGCTGGGCGGTGCTGCCGCTCAGGTCCCTGATGCTGCTGTGACGTGATTGGCTCTCCAGTCTCTGGGTGGAGCCGTGCGGGGACAGGCTGTCCAGGCGATTGGTGCTGCAGTGTTTGGCCTGCGATTGGTCGCTGAGGCGAGGCATGCTGCCGTAGCCCATCCGCTCTTCTGTAGCTTTGAAACCGGAGGTCGTGTATCTGCGATGTACAACAATTTTGCGTTAAGAGCTGGAAAATTCTATTAACAGTTAAAATGCGATTAAAAACAACAACAACCCCCACCTGCCGTCTCTGGAGCGGTGCAGGCTGCCGTGGTAGCTGCTCATCTTGGAGCGAGCGCTGCGGACGGAGCCGGCTCGACTGGTGCTGGCGCTGGGTGGTTCGTCCAGCATGGCCAGGTGGGTGGAGGAGGCGTGCGTGGAGGTGCCCTGCGTGGAGGTGCCCCGCGACTTCCTCACGATGGGCGTGTTGGGGTCCCTGAGCAGCAGCTGGGCGAAGTCGGGCTCCTGCAGAACCTGACGGCTGTCGTTGACCATCGCGCTGTAGCAGGAGGAGGAGGAGCAGATGGGAGGTAAGGAGAGGGTAACCATAGTTAGCTTTAGTTAGCTTAGCCTTTGCTACAGTGGTGCAGTGTGTCTGCTTTTAAGTTAGCTTAGCCTTAGCTACAGTGGTGCAGTGTGTCTGCTTTTTTTGTGGTTTATGTACAAGGTTAAGTTTTATCACAAAGTAACACGTACTTTTTGCGTCTCTTGCCGTGGAAGAAGCTGGCCCACTCGAAGCAGGTCTTCTTGCTCCCCACCCAGAAGACGGAGGGGATTCCCACGATGAGCATCATCAGGTACTTGACGAGGAACAGGACGAGATCAGGACGACTGGTACTGTCCACCTGCGGAGACAACAAGGACAGAGACAACTAAGACATAGAACCAAAACAGTGTCACATTTTGTTTTTTGTTTTTTTTTTTGAGTCCTCGAGGAGCTTAATCAGAGAGACTCAAAGAGTAACACTGATCTCTGTCTTGCGTCTGATCTGGGAAAATTATATACAGAGAGAAACTAATGTGGCCTTAGGTTTGTGATGAATGAAATCAATGTGTAATGAGATCTCGGTGCAGCTCAGCTGCTCTTTCTGCAGGGCCTCCCTTTGTAAGAAAGCTTGTAAGGAGATACAGTAGCGGCCTCCATATCCACCCCGCCATCTATGGTCTGCACCGGTTTGAAACTAGACCTGAATCCGCAGAAAACAAAACGGAGCACCACCTCAAGTACACTCTGTGCTCAACATGTTTGAAATATTACGCTTTTATTCCAGACTTCCAAAGAGTTCTGTCCCAATTACAACAGACCATGATCCATCTTTTCAGCTGTAGCTTTCTTTCTATACATTTGAGTTATTCACCCTTTAGCAAAAACAGCTACTTTTTAGTGTCTCTTTGTTGTTATTATTCATAGGAGAATTGAACAAAGACAACCCCTTGAACTTGTCAGACTAGTGGGCCCAAAAATATGCAGCACCTGTGTCAGAGCGGGTGTACCCTTACAAATATAAAGTCAAGCCACAGATCGCGTTTAGTTGAAATCCTTTACATCACGAGGAGCTTCCCGTTCAATAACGACGCTGTTCGCTGACGCAAAAAACACGCCCTCAAACCGTGTATGTATAAAAATATAAAGTCTATTGTTTCCCTGAGCACAGCTGCCGCACTGCTGCTTTATTCTGCCATAGCAACAATAACTCAACATGCAGAGACTCACACCCACTCCCCCTCTACCTCCTACACACACACACACATACATTCTCATGTGCAGTCACTCACACACACACGATGTCGTCATGATGGCCTCATTATGAGTGGGCCAGGCACAGAGCCCGGGGCTGAGCTGTCCACTGATACAATCGTTACAGCAGAGAGATAAGAGGTGGAGAGACTGCAGGAGTCACTGTGGTCGTGGTTCACCGAGTGCAACCAACACGGCAGCTCAGAGCTCCAGCTCCATTAGCTACATGTGTTTTATCAAAGTATCGAAACACATTTCAAATATATATTAGGTATATTTAGTTATACGAGTAAATATAAATATATGCTTACAATCATCAACTATAGCTAGCTCATGTTAGCCTGGTCATTTGGAAAGGAGTTTGTCCTGTGTTTACAAATGCCTGTGTTGCGTGTTAGCATGTGTGTTTGTGTGCGTGCGTGCGTGCGTGCGTTTGTGTGTACAAAGTCTGACCCCTCAGGGAAGGTCTTTATGTTTGAGCTTTCTCTCGGTTGTATATCGTGTGTGACAAACACAAACGTGCGGTTTCTCCAACACAGCTCAGTCGGAGTGGGTTGGCTGCAGAGTGTAGTTTTACACCTGTCCGCAGCGTCGTCTTCTCACTACACCATTGTCCGGTGTGTGTGTGTGTGTAAAGAGCACAGGCTCTGCTTTAATTATGATGTAAAGCAGCTCCACCTCAACGACACTGTTTCGCACGCACACACGCAACGTCGTTTCACTGCGCCACCGCGTTACACAATGCGGTGCTCTTTCTTCCATCCTCTACCTCCTAATCCTGTTTGTGGAGCTGGAGCCAATCCCAGGAGTCACCAGTCAAAGGCAGGGTACACTCAGTTGAACAGTTGACCAGTCCATCACAGAACCACGTTTAGACAAAAAAAACATTCACACTCACTGAGGTCAACTCAGAGTGTCCAATTAACCTAATCCACAATCTGCATATTTTAGGACTGTGGGAGGAAACCAGAGAAACCACACACACACTGAGGGAACCTACAACTCCATAGAGAACGACCATCATCTGTTAAAGCCAGTCAGGGTGAGTACTAACTGAGAATTCATGTGAAATTAAATCATAAAGAAATAAACAAACAAAAACCACAATTCCACTATTGTTCATTATTAGCCGAATAAATCATAAAGAAATAAATAAAAACCAACAATTCCACTATTGTTCATTATTAGCTTATTACATTGACAGAATAGTGTAAACTGCACCCCCCTGTGGTGGATAAAAATACAGATCCATCAATGCTTTGCAACCCCTACACTCCCCCCCTCCATTCAATATCGATTCCAGTCCCTTATTTTGAAGGACAGCATTAGTTCAATGGAGAACAGTGCCTCCTGCTGACGTTGGGGGGCACATACAGTCCACGAAACTACAATAAATAATCATTAAAGAAATTATCTGGTACTCGAATTCCGATCAACATCAAATTGAAATCAATAGACAGAACCTGCAATTTCTCATAATTTTTTTTATCATTCACTCAAATGTAAACAAATGATTCAGAACCTTTAAAATTATCCAATAAATCGAATACAATTCTTGTAAATAAAAATGTGTCCATATGGACGTTTGTCCAGAGACCCAGTCCACTTTCAACAACCTGAAAGCACCTTTTTTTTTAACACACACCTCACTGAGTCCCTACATACACCGGACACACTGACCTCCGCTCACAACACTCCTATTGGCCTGATGTAGCACAAACTACGTCTACCCTGGACGTGGAGAGACAGGGAGACAGCTGCTTACATGAGCGGTGACACCCGGCTGTAGGGAACAGAGCGGCAGCAGAGGGACGAGCGTTTAAATTATTCACAGCGCCACCATTATGTTTGCTGATACTGGAGGCTATCAGAGAGGACAGGGACCAGCCGGGGCAACAACGAACAGGAACAGTAACACAAACACACACACACTGATATGCCATTAACAGAGAATGAGAATAAATATTGTCGACTATCTTGGATAATTCTTATTCAGGGTCAACAGAGGTTATCAAATATAATAATTTTTAAAAATATAACATGGCAGTGTTTGTTGTACCTGGTAGGGACAGGGGATGTGGTAGTCTCTGCACTTCTCTTGAACCCAGGTCGTCTCCCAGACTGTCCTGTAGCTGTTCTCGTAGAGGTAGCAGCCCAGAACGGTGAGAAGAGGCACCAGGTAGAGAACGGAGAACACGCCGATACGGATCATGAACTTGACCAACTTCTCTTGGTTCTCCTTCTCCAGTGGGATCTCCATACGGACGCGGTTCAGTGCTGCTATTCCTGCCAGAAGTAAAGCCACGCCGACCTACGAAGACACGACGGAAGAAGAAGGTGTAACGTAAGAAGTGCCGGCTTTTCTTGAGTGATTAAAAACAACGTTTGAAGGCCTAATTATTAAAACTCTTAGATAAAAAAATCTGTGTTTTGGGTGTGTTGGGTTCTCACCACTACGTCCAATCCCATGTAAGAATGTTGGGATGGCCAAGTGACCATAAAAGTGGGTTCTCACCACTACGTCCAATCCCAGCGGGGCCAGTAGGAACCAGCGCAAAGTTGTCAGGTTGTAGAGTCCTACGAAGCACACTCCGCTGATGCTGTCCCCCTCGATTTTGTTCATGGCCAACAGAGTGACGGTGAGGACCCCCGGGATGCCCCAGGCGCAGGCATGGAAGAGGAGAGCCTTCTTTTCTATTGCCTCGCTGCCCCATTTGGGAACGGCAGCCAGGAACCAGGTGATGGTCAAAATCACCCACCACACGCTGCCGGCCATGGTGAAGAAATAGAGCACCATGAAGAGCAGAGTGCAGGCCTGAGGGTTGACAAACGGACAGGATTATCGTCTGCCGTGCAGGTAGAGGAAAAACAAAAACATTTCCAAAGGACGGCGTCTCATTTTCTGACCTTGTTGTGGGAGCCTTGTGTCACAGTTGAAGCCCTGAACCTGCCGGGACTGGAGGCGTTACAGGAGACTCTGTTCTCCAACAGGAACCCCAAGAAGAAGACCAGGGACACCATCATGTAGCACACGGCGTAAAATATAATCGGACGTTCTGGGTAACGGAATCGGGAGACGTCGATGAGGAAAGTCAGGAAGGTGAAGAGCGTGGCCGACAGGCAGACTATGGACACCACGCCGATGAAGTATCGGGCGAACGTCAGCTCTTCGCGCGTGAAGTACATGTTGGAACAGGGAGGTGAACAGTCCCTGACGCCCATGAAGGAGTAGCCAAGTTCAGGGTCGATTTTAAGTTCACGGGGACACCAGAAGCCGTAGTCCCTCTGGACAGAAATGGGAGACTCAGTCGAGTCTGAGCTGGAGAGGAGGTCGACAGGTCGGGGGTAGGACTCATCGCAGTCTGGGAACCTAAGAGGAGAGGAAACATGGTAAGAAAAACGTCATGTTTTTACCCTTATACCACGTATTTGTTTTTATTAAGGGTGGTTTGATGTGATAGAACTTGTCATAGAACGTCACCATGGAAACATTTAAACGTCCCTTCTCAGTTGTATTGGTCTGACTTAGATGGCAGTCAGTGACAAATAACAGAGAACAGGAATGTATTCAAGGAAGTACAAAGCACCTGAGGACACAACACCAGAGTATCATGTCACACTTTACCCACAGATCACCCTTTTAACTGCAACACATTACAGGATTAACAATGGCCGCAACTGGCTCATATAAACTGAAGTAGAAGCAGAAAAAATATTCATATAAAAAAACCCTTCACAGCCTCAAAGTTCCGCCCAGTATCAACACGAAGCATGTGTTTTGTTTTACTGTTTCCTGTCAGCTGGCTGTATAACTCTGCACCGTGTTCGTAGGGGCAGGCTTTAATATATAAAAAATGTTTTTACTGCTTTCACAGATGTGGACCTAGAATTCTCCAGGGGTTTCCCGTTCGTGGACCATCAATGTGCTGGGACAATGTCTGGGTGAGTTACGTTCACGACAGCAGGTGTCTCCGACTGTGACTTCCCTGATGTTACGTTGAACGACGTAATCTACATTTGTTTATTGTTTTTTTTTTTTTTTTTAACGTTGAACGACGTAGCGTCATCTACATTTGTTTATTGGGGTTTTTTTTTTTTTGGTTTTTAATATGTTAATGTAGCCCACAGAGTGAGGGAGAGGTTAGTGGTTCTACCGGTTTGATCCCCAGAGGGAATTAATGGTCTCTCTGTATGGAGTTCTCCCTGTGTGTTCTCTCTCTGTGTTCTCTCTCTGTGTTCTCCCTGTGTGAACTCCCTGTTTGGGAGAGTGATTTCTCTGGTTCCAAAAACACGCAGACTTCAGGTCAATTTAAAGTCCAATTAACCCGAGGTATGAGCGTGCAAGTGAATGGTTCCTGTGTCTATATGTGGCCCTGTGATGTGCTGGTGAATATCCAGGGTGAACCCCCACCCCCCTTCGACCCTGAAAAGGATTAGGCAGTAATGGCTGAATGTATATGTTCAAGGACTGTTTTTGATGCCGGGAAAAACACGTTCGACAACGATCGACATTTGTTGATACATTTGGTGTGAAATTAGCTTCGTCGTAGCTAACGTCTGAGCAATTTAAATTGCAACTCAATTTTTTTTTTTAAAGTTTGATTTTTAATTAGTTACTAGTTTTGTTATTAGATTTCTGATTTAATTATTTTTCGTACTGCTCTTCTCCGGGGGCCATTTAAAGTCTAATTTTATCCACGGTCGCTGTTCTGCTGTTTTATTGCCGCTCCTCCCACCCGAAAGAACATCTGCTTAAATTACTAGTCCGTGCCAAAATAAATCCAGAGAAAGAGAGTGATGAGTGTTTTGACAACCTGTTGCAGTCCATCTCCTCGGGCCAACTGACACCAAACATGTCCATGAGTCTGTAGCAGTCGCTCTTGGCCTGCAGACACAGGCGGCGACAGGGCAGAGTTATCCTTCCGTACTCGCTGCACACCGGGGCGTAGAGGGAGCACAGGAACATCCTCAGCTCTGGGGAACATTGCAGGTTCACCATGGGGTGGAACGGCTGCAGCGAGAGAGCACAAACAAACAGTAGTTTTTTAGTAAAAGTAGTTGAAATAGCTTGGAAAGTTTTTGCTTTTTTCGGAAATTCTGGACGTCAAACCTGTGTTTCTAAATCTGAGGTGCAGACCCCCCCTTGAATGCCATGAGCACAAAGCACAAAGAGATCAGTAGAGCATATCGCTGGGCAGATTTTGAAGATGAGTCTTTAAAAAAACAACTCTGGCCTCTTTCCTATTAATCCCCCTCCACCCAAATCATTTCACATTCCCATTTTCCTCCCATGTTCCGTCCTCTCTAACTTCCACACATCGTCTTCAAGATGAGCAACGAACCCCCCCCCCAACCCCCCAACAAATACACCCACAGTGGGCTTCTTCTGTTGCTGACAGGGTCTTTGTGTTAAGAGGAGGACCAAGCTGTGGCTGAGTGACACGCTGTAGTAACATGATGGGCACTTAAACACAAGAGAGCCTTGCAGCGGAAGTATATTATTAACATGCTAACACATGCACGTACCGGAGGCACAATAACGATCTCGCACCTAAACTGAGCCAAGATGTGGTCTGAGTGCAGCGGCGTCTAAGAGGGAATGCTGTTAATATGCAAATGGGAACGTGTGCGTGTGTGTGTATAACCGAGACAAAAGTCAAACGTGTGCGTGTGTGTGTGTGTATAACCGAGACAAAAGTCCATATTTGATCAATCCTTTTTTATCCAGAATACATGTCTTAACACATAAATTTGCACTTACAGCTCACGGCTGTGTGACTGCGTTAGCTCCACCCAATCTGTCATACAAACACTCCCCACCCTCCCCCAATTTAAAGACAGTGGTCTGTATGACACGTGAGGGGGATGGGAAGTGGGAGATAGGTGTGGAGAGGGGAGGACAAGAAAATGTGTCCCTCGGTTTGTTAGAGACAGCGCTTTCTGACGAGACACTTTAAAACAGGGTTAGAGCTCAGTGTCGAAAAGACGCTGGCGAACATGAACGCTAACGTAGTTTACGAGCAACTAGGATTCGACAACATTATCCAGTTTCTCACAATCCATTTGACAATCACGTCAGTCGAAGAGTTATTCGCTGGTCTGACGCAACGCTGGCATCCGATGCGAAGTTGAAGCCTCCATAAACACATGCCGGGTCTGGAGATGGTAATTTAAGCTCCAGCTGCTTCATGAAACATAAACTGCGTCCCGCAGTGTGTGCAAAAACACAACATGCACCAGCTGTGCACTGGAGCCAAGTTGGATGAACTGTAGAAATATTGGATATAGATTGGGTGTCATTTTTACCATGCCTTACAATGCTTTTAAAAGCAATTTTAAGATGGTATATTTAACCATTTGACACCAATTATCCATCTCCTAGTGTAATTTTGACTGTCACCCACAGGTGGTATCTGTCTGTATAAACATTATCAATGGTCATTATATTTGGCCTTGGGGAGACAAAGCGTCCACATCTCCGTGAGGAATTTGTCACCGCCTGGGTTCATATCCCTTGTCAGTTGACATTAGCCGGCCTAACGGATCCTGGAACCGTTAGTACCGATGGGATCAAGTCCACAGAAAGAGTTCAAGGTTATTTATACCCGCGGCGAAACGCAGAGGGTCAGTTTTAGTGGCTCGCACGCCTGTCATAACTGAGACTCATCAGCCATTGGATCGTGTAATTTCTTAACAAATGGAGTCGTCAGATTTCACCGCGCTTCGCTATTAGGTGACACGATCACCCGCAGAACACTTGTGGCCACATGATCTAAGAAGCATGAGAATACATATACATTTGAATGGATCCATTACTGCAGCGAGCACAAAGCCTGGATTCCATGTTCAAATTAGTGTTAAATTGTGTGATTGGGTTTTAATTCTTGTCTAATTCTGGTTTTAAGTCTAATAGTTCTACAATATCACAAACATCCCAGAAAAAAAAAATATAATTGTAAAGGAAACACTGTGTAATCAATATAATTTTAGGTCAGGCATGGGCAAACTAAGGCCCGGGGGCCGGATGTGGCCCGTGTAGCTTTTTAATCTGGACCGCCAAACTTTTCCAAATTATTATTATTATTTATTTATATCATTATATTTATATACAGTGGGTACAGAAAGTATTCAGACCCCCTTAAATTTTTTACTCTTTGTTATATTGCAGCCATTTCATATTGACATGAATTGTTGACATTTTTGCAGATGTATTAAAAAAGATCACATGGTCATAAGTATTCATTCAGTAAACATGAATTGTTGACATTTTTGCCTGCAACACCCACATTTGCCTAATAGATCACATGGTCATAAGTATTCATTCAGTATATCGTTATACTTCTGCCTTTTCCCTGCAACACCCACATTTGCCTAATAGATGGCGTAGAAAATGATGATTTTTACATGACATTTACATGTCATTTACAGTATCTCAGTCCACACGAACGCTCCATCTCTCTGCTCCTGACCCGGCCCAATTTCAACCTTCGTGATGTTGCTTTTGCTTGTTAGCAGTTTCACTTTTAACATTGATTATAGTTCTACCACAATAAAAGAGGTACAGTGTGACCACCCGGACCGCTGCAGAACAGATAAAGAATCACCATCAAAGCCCTTGTTCAAGTTTTCACAAACTGAGGAGCTTAGGTTTCCACATCCAGGCACAACAAGGTCAAAGAAACCTGAGCGTGCTATTACAGTCCCCGGAGAAGCAACACACAAAGGCACACGATCCTGACGTTCCCCCCCCGCCCAGTCTGCATGATTATGTACTGATTATCCTCCTCGTCACACCCCCACCGCCGCATTTTATGCATCGCTGTCACATTTCTGACTCCGGTCCTGGTACCCTGGCGCACGGGTTCAACCACTATCTAATGGACCTAAAGTGAGTTTGTATCTTTCCCTCTTTCACTCGCCTCTTTCTGCTATGATCCCTGTAGCCACTGACACGCTCCACAGAACACACTCAGCTGTGTCGAACAACAAAGTGAGAAGAGGGGCCGAAACGGATGGATAAGTATCTGGGTTACACCAGGAGATTCTCCACCAGGGATAGAAAGCTCAGCTACCACTTTTCCCATCCACCCTTCTTCAACATTTTTCTATTTATACACTCTTGCCCACTCGCATCCTCCATCTGACTCCAACACCCCCCCTCCCCCCCCCCCCCCCCCCCACCCCCCCCCCCCCACCTCAGCCAAACCATAATGTGAGTGGGCAGGACTGAGCGGGTGGTTGATGGTGGACATACGGCTGCTCTGCCACGCAGTCGGCAGCCTGACACCTACGATCACAGATAGCCCCGCAGGTATTCCTCCCAGTGATGCCGTGTTAACGGCTGCAACTGGGAACAGCTGGTGAACCACTGGTCCGAAGAATGGCTAGGGTTTGTTGCAATGTTGTCAGCCATGTTAAGGAGGATCAAGTATGTAATAGACTACTCTTTTGAATGTTGTGAGCCCCGGGGGGGGCAGTGCGCTAATGTAACTTTAGCTGCAACCGCACTGCTACAGTCATTATGTATTCATTGGATTCTGTTAGGGGATTTTTGATGTCGGAGGATTCCGAAATAATACGCCAATCCAACGCACACAGACATCGCAGTTCAGGCTTTTATTCCTTCTATTTGTATTTATATTATTTCAAATGGAAGATTTAAAAATTGTTACTGCTCAATGACATCTTGGTTATCATTTTCAAAATATGTTTTTTCTGCAGACATTTCTTAATGTTGCTGTACGTCAGTGTTTTTTTCCTTTAGTCAGGGAAACTGTAGAGATCATTATGGTGGTGGAATTACACAACAAAATCCCTCAGACAGACAGAGACACACACACACATATTAAAAAGATGACTGGCAGAGGGATTTTCTCCATACCTGAGGCAACGACTCATTTCCTGACAGGGGAAACAGCTTAACTTTTTAACCCCAAACCAAAAATCCCCTAACTTTGAGAACACTGAGACAAGACACGCAGGTCAATGTAGAGTCATATGTAAAGATCTAAGAGAACCACTGATCTGTATTAAGATAATTAAGTGAATGTTAAAGTCTTTCATAGACAAAAAATCCACCCCCAAAAAATTAATGATTTCATTTACATAAATAATCCCCCCCCCCAAAATTAATGATTTCATTTACATAAATAATATGTATTTAGTTCAGCGCGGGCAACAAGTAATGACCTTGGATTAACCTCTGAGCAGTTTGGGATTTGACTACAGATTTTTAGTGACATTAATTATTAAAACAGCTTTGTCCGTTAAGTCATCCGAGTGTCCAAGTCTGGCTGTTTAATTCTTTGTAATGCTTAAATGATTACTTTTTAATAGAGGCCGTGAATCAGCTGCTTCGATGCAGTGACTTGATGAATCACCATCACGGCCGCCCGGTCTGCGTCGATCTGTTCTCTTATAAACACCGCTCAGTCACCTCTTCCCATCAGCCCCCTCTGCCCTTACTCACTCCTCCCGTTATTTCCTTTTCTCCTCTGCTGCCATTCCAATTCTTCAAATTTCCAAGCTCAGCGCCATGGTGATGAGTGATGCATCACCGGGGAGGAGGAGGAGGAGAAGAAGGAGGAGGAGGTAGAGGAGGAGGAGGAGAGAGAAAAAAAAGAGGAGTAGGAGGCGGCATGGGCAGGAGAGTGGAGTTCGAGGAGGTCAGGGTGCGCGGCGAACGGGACCACCTCCCGGGAGGCAAAAAAAAAAAAGCCTGAGCTCCCTTTGTTAATAGCACAATTGGGAGTGTTTCCTGGGCAACGCGTGAGCCCTAGCATAGGGGGAGGGGGAGGACAAAAGGGACGGGTGCATTGGGTGGAAGAGAGAGAGAGAGAGAGAGAGAGGGGGAGAGAGAAAGATAGGAGGGATGGGTCAATCAAGTCAGCGTGCCATTCATGGCCAAGAAAGGTTTTGAAAACCTGACGCTCTGGCAGAACGTAGTGTCTGGATGTGCGCGCGCACAAACACACACACAAACACATAGAGAGGATGTGGACCAGCGACTTGCTCTCAGGATGTGCTGCTCATTCACTCTACAGCCAATAAACACGGTGTTGGACATTAAATAAAACAAGAGGCTCTTTTATAGCCCGGGTCACGCTGGGTAGGATTTATCAGACCATGTTGTGTCTGCCTGTGTGTGTGTGTGTGTGTGTGTGTGTGTGTGTGAGTGCACTTCTGTGGGCTACATCTTTACTCGCCAACACAATAGGCATGTTAAATGGGCTACTTTTTTAGTGCACTGCAACATTTCTTTTTTCTTTTTTTTTTTAACAGACTGAAGTTTGTTAGCACATCTTTGTCAGCTGTTTTATACACACTAAGATTGCACACACACACACACACGCACGTCACCTTTCCTTCATTAATCCATTCACTCAACATGGCCTGGAGAACCAGGGATGTTCTATACAGCATGCAGTAACAGGACACAGTGTATCTGGGCAGACTGTAAACCTGAGACAAGAGGCTGATTTAATGACATGAGTGGAAGACAGTGAGGTGATTAAAAAGAGATCCCCCGTTTGTGTCGGTGCATAGCAAAGACCACCTTTACATACAAAGGGGAAAACGAACCAACGGCTACAATTTTCAATCTTCTCTTCACGTTTGGAAGCCATTAAAAAAAACAAACTAATTTACTGCTTGGCTTTTGACTTGATGTAAACAACCCAATTCAATTACTATCTTCCGTCTGTCCTGTCTCTAGCTGCCCCCCCCCCCCCCCCCCCCCCCCCACCTCCTCTCGCGCGCCGCTGCCTTCCTCCCCCACACACAAACTCAAGTCACTGAACCCCAGTCGGACACTTTTGCTCTCCATTTCCCAGAAATCGTTTAAGAAACGTATTAAATAAACAAAGATGTAACATGTGTTGCTTTGGATATCTGAAGACATTTGCTATGGCAAGGTTCAGCCAAAAGATGTTTCTCTTATTAAAAAAAACGTGTTCTTCATTATACAGTATATCAAAGATTTTTTTTTTTTTTTACCAGTAATACTAGCTATGATAGACTGTGAATAATCCCTGCTTTCTGATGCTAATTTCATCCACCACAGACTATTTTCATCGAAAATAAATTGAGTCAATGTGGGAAATCAACATCGCTTACACTCATAGGGCTTTTTTTTTTTTTTGCTTTTGTGTTTTTTTCTTTTTAGTACGTCAGGAAGATCTGCCACGCTCCCGCTTATCACACGAGGGTAGTACGGTACCATTATGGCACGGGAAAAAGTGGATTCCCAGCCCTGAGGCCGCCGCGCCACTTCAGCTTTGGGGTCATTGGACGGTCAGTGACAACATACGGAGGATGGATCCACTGAGGTAAATGCTGTATTTGTAAAGAAAAGAAAATGAGTAATGGCTGCGGTAAACACTTATTTATAGTACGTTTATTTCTAACTGTTTTTTGTTGTATTGTTGTAAAAAAATGTATAAATCTGGGTACCTCCAACCTCAAAATACATTCTCCACGTACTTAATATTTTTTTTAATCTAAACTAAAACAGACAATGTCAAATATAGAATGGAACAACTAATCATCCAAAGAGAGCCATACTGCAGTGCATATTTGTATTTTTACAAATTCTCTTAACATTAACATTAAACTAAAAAATGTAAATAATAATTTTTAAATAGTGACGTTTTTACAAATTCTCATAACATTAAAAATTAAAATAACTTAACTATGTTCTAAAAGATTTGAATTTTTAAATAGTGACAAAGAGATGGCACATGAATCCCAACTTGACCTAAATCGTTATTATAATCAGTTAATGTGATGATGATTTATAGTGTGGTTGTTTTTTTTCCCCTCCAAACTTTAAAACACATTAAAAAGTCGTTATAAAAGCAGGACGAGAAAGAAAAACAAATCCAAAAAAAAGACAACTCTTCAGGGGGTTCGGACAAAAAGCTCATTAATGGCAGGAGTTGGTTCACATCCAACTCTTGGCTTCTCCGTGATGCCGGGCATTCATCATCATTATCAAGGCTATTCAGTGGCGCTAATTCCCCTTTAAAATCAACTGTCAATTCTTATTTGGCTGCACTCAACATGGTGCAGACTTTAAATTCTCCCATGAACTGGATCTTGGCTGTATTAAGACCAAAAAAAAAAAAAAAAAAAAAAAAAAAAAAAAAAAAAAAACAACAAGAAAACAGACCCCCCCCATTGGGGAACTAAGTGTTTGCATCCTCTCAACCTGTGTTTATTTTCTTAAGTTTAAAAAAGGTAACATCTCCCAGAAAACAGAGTAATTCCAATGCAACAATAAGAAACGTCTTGTTTGGGGGTCAGGAATCCCAAATAAAGCAATCAGAGGGTGAAGTTTACCCCATTTACCCCAAGAACAGTGGACATTATAGTAAGTTCTACACGTTTCTAATTCGCCATTGACATTGTCACCTTGTCAATTGGAAAACTTTTGCACAAGTTACAAAATCTCCCATACTGCAAGGTATTCTGTTTGTCACATCTTCCTCAATGACAGGAAGACTGCTCTTTTAATGTCTGTCAGCACCATAATTGAGTTTCTGCTAAATAGCACTGTCACTGTGCAGCAAAACACCATTATTGGCTGGTCAGCAAACGTCAGTTACTGTAATCAGTGTGTACACCATGAACGATTACACACTGAAGATAAATGACATCAGAGCCACAACATGTTCTTTTTGTGAAACAACAACCACTTCGATCACTAATGACAGCTAATCACTGCTGATGTCTTTATAGACTTTGGTCTTGACTTGAATGTCATATTAGCTTAGCAACTGCATTGTTGTCATATGTCATCATATTAACGTCACATATATTTATAATTACAGTGTATATATTGTGAAATAATATACGAGTAATATATATATAAGTCGTATATTATATAATATAATATATATTATAATATATATTATAATATAACTATTATAATAACAGTTTTGCTGGAGATATTTAAATATATATATATATATAAATATATATATGTCTGTATATATAAGTCTGTATATATATACAGACTTTACTAGTTTATGTATCAGTAGACAATAAATATACTTACAAGAGAGCAGTAAATTACTAATATACAGCATGAAATTTTAGAGACCAGAAAAGAGGCGTGACAGACCTCAGAGCCATTAATGTGCCTAAAGTAATTAAATAGAACGTAACAGTGCTCCACAATCTGGTTTGGAAACACTGATAAAGGTTAGAAACCTTTTTTTTTGTTTGTTTAATTTTTGTTATTACGACAAGCATAGACGACAGAATTTATAAAACAGCGCACTTTACCTCCATGGCGAGAGCAGCAGTCTGTTGGTCGTAGTGGTTCAGCACGTTGGGCATGAAGGTGGAGTTGTAGGCCAGACCCTGACACATGCGGAGCGTGATGGGCTCACACGTGAACAGACTGTGGCTTCCTGCCGCAGCATCCATTGGAATGGCGACGCAAGCTGTCAACATGGACACCGACAGCACCCACAGCAGATCCATGACGGGTCCTCAGAGCAGCGCAGAACAACCCAGTGATGGCAGGTTAGGAGAAGTGCGTTAACCCTGTAAGCATCTAGTTTTTTCCCCCCCGAATCTTAAGGCTTAAGAGCGGCCTGGTAGATTCCTTCTGGAGTTTAGATCACAGAAAAACAGCGCGACAGGACCAGCAGAATCCAACGATGCAGCCATGGCTGACACTGACGCCATCCATCACTACAGCGATTGTGGATTGAGAGTCTCACAAGACCTCCATCACCTGAGAGACACTGTGCTCTTTTGGAGTAGGTAATTGCTCACAGGCCTCCTATCATCTCCTTCCTTGATGGACAGCAATGATGCCTTAGAGAGATTCAGATTGAAAGCACCGATAGACACAATGTCTACATCAAGATCTGAAAAAAAAACAAAGCAAAAATCCTAATGAAACACAATGGCTAAATGATAAATGAAACAAAAAAACACATCATTTAGTAATACAGATAATACATCATTTAGGTGATGATGGGCTAACTACTGCTAATACATCATTTAGGTGATGATGGGCTTTGCAAATTAATTACGGATTAATTAAGGATTAGCAACAATAATTATATTCAATATTATACTGCAGTAAATACAGCATTGAAAGTAAAAACGTAATTTAATTTTAAAAACATACATAAATGCCTTATATGTGTGAATGAACATCTTGTTCTATATTGTACCGCCATGCTAAACTAATAAAAAAAATCAATTGATAACTGAAAATTGTTAAATGTCAAATTTAACACAACTACTGTATTGTATTGGTCAAATATTAGTTGCTTCAAGTCTTCAATATTTAGTACGTTTCAATACTACATGGCTACACGTGAATTATACTTTAATATCAGTTTATATTTAACACTACACTTACAATTGAGAAAACTTTACTTTTGTAATTTATGTTACAAATGTTGTATTAGGTCTACATGTATTTTTTTAAATAATTATATTTTAGACAATTATCCTATTGCTTTTATCAAAACAAGTATTTACTTCATGTAAATAAACATTCCAGTCCTTCACCATTATTCATACTCATTTTTATTTTTTAGTTTATTTCCTTTATTTTGTCCAGCATACAAAATACAACGATTACGTTAAAATCGCATCGACTTTTATATCAGTCCACACCCATGCACTAATAACATTACCTTTACCGATCATTGAGAAAACCACGTAACTGGCTTCCACATACACGTTTATTTTTACCTAATAAACGCGCCCTTATTATTATTATTTTTAATTATTTTTGAAATGTTTTAAAAGGCAGTTGTTGCGATTATGTGTTCGTGTACCTGTGCGTCATTCCTAACGGTGTTCCTTCCGCGGCTGCACATTAAAAACACACGTTTACTGCTCATGACTAAACAGGTTTTACAACAAAAATGAACGAATGTTGTTTGTCTCCTTCTAATGCAACTCCGTGCCTCTCCGTAAAGGCAAATACAAATGACATGAGACGCAGCGCAGACAAAAGATGACGGTTACTTCGTGACTGATAGTAACCGTGGCAGATCTGACGAGCTGCTCGGCGTAAGAGCTCATCGAGCCCAGCCGGGCGGTACCGGAGATATTGTGCGTTGCAAAAAAACAACATGCAGGTGTGTTAAACAGGTCAATGTGGAACAGTTTTACCTGATTGCTGTGGTCAATATTTACGTGCAGCGTCGACGTCTACGCCGGTTCTCCACCAGTCAGCAACAATGACTGACCGTGCCTCTCTCCACCAGCTGCACCTCCTCCTCCTCCTTCTCCTCCTCCTCCTCTGTCCTCCTCCCTCCTTGTGCCGGCACCCTGCCCAGAGTCAAGCGAACCACTGGTTTTCAAAATAGCTTCCCCTTTTTCATTTCAAAATAAAAGCATACGCAACACTTGCGTCTCTTCGGCTAAATCGTTGTAATGTTGAATATTTTGTCGATTTAATATACAAAATGAAAAAAAAAACAACAACAACGGTGTTGTCTTAAGTATTTTGAGAGTTTTGAGAAGTTTATATCGATTTTAGGAAAAAAGGGCCCTGATTTACCAACTGTCCTTTGTGCTGCCACATTACCAGGACAACGTGAGTGATAGCATTACGGTTTGTCGTTTAGAGGTCGGCTTTTTTTTTTTCGTTTCTAAGTGTATGGCACAAATTACGGTTTGTCGTTTAGAAGTCGGCATTTTGTTTTTCTTTTTCGTTTCTAAGTGTATGGCACAATAACATGAACATAGGGTTTCTGGAGACAAAAAAAATATATTTTATTTTAAATACCTTATATATTTAAAACCTCTGGACACAGTATCCCAGCCACCCATTTAACACAATAATGACAATAGTAAAGTTTACAGTAAAAACACACACTGAATGATAACTCTTAACATCAAAATATGCTGTGGCTCTTTTTATTTTATTTTATTTTGAGGACAGAACTGCTGGCAGGTTTCCAGTTGCGATCTGCCTCTGTGGTTGTAGCTTGACACTCCTGCCACCCACCCTTTGCCCCCCCCTCCCCCCCCCTTCTTCTTTCACAGCAGGTTTTCTGCCTTTATTGCAGTAATCATCTATTCCAGCAAGAGCAGCAGGACCTGCTACTGTTGAATAAAGAACTTCTCACGCAGGGTGATATAGAATAACATGTGGGCGGATAAACATGTACAAAAGCCGCCGAGAAACACACAAAAATACTACAAAACACGGCTAGTTCTATCTATCTATTTTTTCGCAGATGCCATTTATTTCATTTGACCTTTAATTCTGTTGGTCAATACTGGATGTAGGGGCGATAGCACATTTATAAGATGGGTCTACACAGAAAAACAATCAGTCGGGTCTATTTTTCTGCAGTATCACCGTAGCCAGAGCAGCTGTTGTCTACAGTATTAGCCGTGTCAGGCCTTCTGCTTCGACATTTGTCATCGTTAGAGCAACTGAAGACTGCACACTCCACACTCCAGCATGGTTTACTTTGCAGTGACTCCTCCTCCTCCTCCTGTGCCTGACAGGCTGTGACAATCTGTGCGTAACTATAGAGACAAGTAAACTGTACACAGGGAAGAAGGGAAGAGAGGAGAAAAGTAGGAGTTTGGCACAGAGAAACAAAGAAAGGCATCAGGATACGTAAGTTTAAGACCTGGATTTATGTCCTTTTGTCAGCTGAGAGAAAGTAATGGTGAGTCCAATACTATAGAATAGAGTTTTACAGCCAGTAGTGCATATTTGTTCCTGTCTCGGTGCTTAGGGTACATGGAAACATGGGAGATAAGAACATTTCATGATGTCTTACTTTTTTCATTTTGTTCATTTAAGCTAAGATTACAGCTCAGCTAAGCTTAAAGCTAAGCTAAGCTAGCTAAGCTTAAAAGTGCTTGATCAGATGTACTGTATATTGTTGATAACCTGACATTACACAAACAAAGTATGGGAAAGAAAATACATTACTTTTTTGTTTGTTTACTGTAGCTCTTCCGTCACACTGTGACAATAACAACCTGAGATGCCACAGGAACCGAAGTCACCGGCAAACTGCAGCGGGATGCAGACAAAAATGAGCGCCTGGACTCCTCTGAACCACCCTGCTGCAAACATCAAGGTCAACTTCACTGACTTTCTAGATTGGCAATTTTATAAGCAACTAAATGTCATGACATAACAATACAAAATACTATGTAGCAGTAAAAAAAATATATAAATACATTTCAGGATTTTAGTCTTTACCTTTCCCTATGATTCAATGTACCTTCTGATTTATTGCATGTATTTAATTGATAAAGCATAATATTATAATTTTCTTTTTCTTTTTCAGATATTTGAAGAGCGACAGACGTTACTGTCCAAATGGGTAAGTAAGTTCAAACGCCAACAATAGCAGAGAATAAATACTATCATGGATGGTTACTGTGCACTGGTTATGAAATAGGCTGGTTTACACAGAATAAAATGTAAATCATTAACAATAAAAATACTTTAAAAATACACATTTCATTTTACCCAGTTTGACAGGTGGTCTGACAGCCAGAGGAGGGCAGTGCTGCAGACATTTGTAAAGAGCTGCTCACGAGAACAACTCAAGTTCCTGAGCCTCATTGTGAGTAGACGGCTCCCCCTACAGGCTGCAGACTTCACCTGCGAGCTGCCTCGAGCTCTCAGCCTCTACATCTTCTCCTTCCTGGACCCCCGTAGCCTCTGCAGATGTGCCCAGGTATCCAGACTGAGCAGCGTTGTGACCTGTGGGCCAGTTGACGCATGTGAACCTAACCTAACTGAAGTACTGTGGACAGGTGAGCTGGCACTGGAAGAGCATCGTGGAGTTGGACCAGCTGTGGATGCCCAAGTGTTTGAAGTTGAGCTGGTGCATCAGTCACTCGCCGACGCCTTTTGAGCAAGGTGTCTGGAAGAGACATTACATCCAGACAGTGCAGGAGATGCGACTACTTCGACATAAGGTGATGATCCAGGATCAGTACGTTGGGCTGATGTCACAGAAACGTAGCAAATGTCTATGAGAAAATGTGGCTTTAAATTCTTTCCCTTTCTTTAGACTGCCACATTTATGCCCCAGTACGCAACTCCTAATTTAGCAACAATCAACAACAAACATAAAGACCAATCACACGCAGCCTCACTCCATGAGGGGCGACAGGGGTCTGCTGCCCAGCCAGCCAAAGAGGGCCTCAGGTACGGATCAACCAAAGCCAAGCCGCAGAGCCAAGCTTTGCCTCCATGGAGACATTCTGACAGACGTCCCAAGGACACGCTTCGCTTCAACTACCTGGACAACCTGAGCCCTGCAGACCACCGGCTGAAAAAGTAAGACAGCACCAATAAAACATTCTGATGTTTGCTTTCTGCAAATCAACTTTTCAAAATAAAATAGAAAATGATAATTCTGAAAATCAACTTTTCAAAATAAAATAGAAAATTACTAGAGTCTGTAGTGTGCAGATGCGCTTGATGTTTTATATCCCAAACATAGCAGCAAAAATGGCCTGCAATGTTTCGTTTCATTTTAGTCTTTGAAATGCAGCATTTAGCTATACATCCCATAAACAAGTCATTCCATAAATGCTAACTGGTTATCATTTCCACCTCAAAAATGAAAAAAAACCAACAAAACAAAACAATTTTTTTTTCATTGATGTTTGATACTTTCTGCTGTTTTTGCAGCCACATCAAAAGCACATCCCTCAGCTACGCAGGAAACCCAGTCACGGCAGAAGAAGGCCGCAGAAAATCCCTGTCTGAAGCTACTTACAAACTCCGCAAAGCCAAATCTATGGTAAGCCCCGCCCCATTCGTCACATCCACAGTCAGCAGTGACTGTGACCTCACGTCTGATTCGAAGTGAGGCTATTGAATGTGCACAATTCTCTGTAGACGCCACAACCAGAAGGCATTATACATAATGGAGAGGGGTTTACACCGAGAAGCTTGTTGTTAATGCGCCGCTCTGAGTGGGAGGTGATGGAGAGGAGGAGATGTTTAAATGTAGCTGAGAGTACAGTTTGAGAGAGACAGAAGGGGTGAGACAGAGGACACCCAGGCATTATAATCTGAGGTAATAAATATGCAATAATTAACACAGTAATCAAAGTCTGTTGTTCTCTTTCAGATGTTTTTAACTTCCAACTACAGACCCCAACATTCTCCTACTCCCGCCCCACCTACTCATCATCCTCAGTGGGCATCATCAAGTAACGGCCAACCCAACACAGAGGAAGGCGCTAAGAGCCTTCTGCATTCAGCCCACTGGAACGCTGGGATGCGTCCAGGCCCCATAAGATCAGCTGTGCCTCAGCTGAGTGCGGCGGTGCTCCGAGCATGTCAACGCTCACAACGCAGCTCTCCCAGTTAGTGGAAACAGCGTATTTTTTTCTCTCAGTGTTTTCACCGCTCTTTCAGCTCCATTTTTATTATTTAAAAATGTATACCTACACTGTCACTGTACAGGCTACCAAAGAGTAGACAGGTTTATAATATAGAATTTCACGAATGATAAATTACACACACCTGCTACCATTTATCTCGTTAATGTTAGCAACAGTATGACCTTTTGACCTACAGTATTTTGGTTCTTTTTTTTGTTATTTTTTCCATGATCAATTTATACATTTATGAATAGTATTTCATTTTTTTTTAATGATTCAAAAAGTTTTGACACTGTTTTATTCATTAAGTCTGATCTATTATTAATGTAATGGGATAAGCTGATAGTTCAATATTTTATTTGTAAAGTCTGTCATCGTGTAATGTACATGTTTATCATATATAATTAAAAACGCAAATGGATACTAACAATATAATTATGTATATTCATCAAGTGACTCTCTGTATGTGTTTGAAAACCAGCCAATTAAATACCTAATATTTTATATTTTTATACAATTGTTTTTGTGTTATTTATTTAAAAAAAAAATCACAGGACTGTTGATGTCTCACGCAAGATATATTAGTCTTGCATTTTAAGGCATTTTGG